CAGAAACAAGAAATGTGAACGGAAACTATTACTTTTAGTAAGATACATATGTACTGTACATACATTGCCACCTTCCAACTTTCGATGGTCAACGCTCTTCAGAAACAAGAAATGTGAACGGAAACTACCAAAAAGCTTTGAAAAAGACCTTTCGAACATGATGCAATAATCGATGCTATTGGTCATAAAATCAATAGCAATCGGTAGTCCCTTCTTCGCATTTGTATTCATTGACTTCAAATACCACCGTAAAAATCTCTGAAGTGTAATGATTCGTGAGCAACGAAGATATATAACTTCGAGAATATAGTTCAAATTCCACGGTGGGACGACAAGCGTTAACATCAGACATCAGGCATAGCTTCTAGATAGCCGATTCGTTAAGTACTACAATGACGGCGTCGGCATCGATCTCTCCACCAATTTCGTCTATATCATCTCGTGACAGACGATCCTTTCAAATATTTGGCGGAAATCATTTTTCTTTCAGTAGGGRCAATATGGTGGATTTGTGTGTTTCTGCTTGCACTACATTTKTGGAGACTATCGTCTACTTGTTGGGGCCACTATTGATATGCTTTGCGGCCACGATTATCATTGGTCTGTCGTGGGTTTTTTTCACTATTTATATACCCATGATGAAATTTGCTCTAGACAAACAAGAAGCCTCTCCACTGCGACGGTATGTTGAGATTGGTTTTAACGTGGGCTTTGTATGTTTCGTCTTGATAGAAATAATCTTCAATTACTACATGTGCGTGACAACCAGGAACTCGGGACCATCTAGTTCCTACAATGCAGTTGCTCGTGAATTGGCTGAATCGACCAATTTCGAATACCCTGACACGCCGGAAGAAGTTGCACAATATCGACGACACTTCAACGACAAGATGATGGTGAGGGTCAGACGTCGGGAAGCAAGGGATGCGGAGCAAAGACATCGAATGCGGAGTCATTCTCGTTGTTGCGACGCTAATGGCAAGTGTTCCGGCAACAAGATTCCAGCCGTTTCCCATAATACTGCGACCGGGAAGACAGCATCGACTGGCCACGTCGCCGATGTGGAGTTGGATCAGGTCCCGAGCAATAGCAACGCGGATGTAACGCTTCGAAAAAAGGCCAGGCAAAACCAACCAAAGAAAGATTCGAAACAACCGGGGGGACATGATGGTAATGCAAATAATACACATACCAGGAGCTGGATGTTTATGGCTCCCGACGAGTGGGGTTTTTGTACGAAATCGAATCAACCCAAACCACCTCGGTCTCATTATGATCACGTCAGCAAATCCCTAGTTATGTGTTTAGATCATTACTGCCCCTGGATGTTCAATGCAAGTAAGTGTCATATATGTTTGCAATCAAAAGTGGTAAGAGATAGAATATACACTAAAAATCCCTGCTTTCTCTTTCTTGTTCAACCATAAAAGTTGGTTATTTCAACTATCGATATTTTTTAAATTTCCTTATTTATGTTTGTGTTGCTATGTTATACGGGGCATTCATAAGTTATCGCCCCTTTATCAATTCGACGGGTTCCGTGTACAGAGATCAGTTATTACGGTATCGAAAAACCGGTGTTTGGATGTACATACATCCGTATACGCCAATGCCTTCCGAGCGGGGGCCTCTGACCCTCGGATTTATGCTGTGCTTGGCCGTGGGAATTGCGGTGGCATGCTTGGGAAGCTTTCACGTATAYTTAACGCTTTCTGGACAGACGACAATTGAGTTTCACGGAAACTTCATCAACAGGGCGAAAGCAAAACGAAGGGGGGAGAAATATCGCAATCCCTACGACATGGGTTGGAAACGCAATTGGCAACAAATCTATGGAGACTATGGAAACACTTTGTCGATGGTCATGGCCATGGTTATTCCTTCAAGAAGAGAACCTCACTTTTTGCCCCTTCCACTTGGAGGAGAGGCAGGGAAACGGAAGCATTTGCGTGCTCGAGATCAAGACGACGGGGATGAAATGACGAAGCCTATTTTAGGATCAACGTCTAATTTGTCTGATGCTGGGAATATAGTGTAGTGTAGCGCATTCGAGCGCAGCGACGGTCAAAGATATTTGAGTTTGTCTATTTAAATACGAAATGGAGTAGATCATAGCATCAACATGTGAACAGTAACATTTCTCTATCTATCTATCTTGACGGACTTCGCAATTAAACATCTCGGGAGACGTCCTGGATTTCGGTTTGACCAGAAAGTTTGGTGACCATAATTGTCGCATCACTCCAATGTACAACTTATACTATGATGACGATTCGTAGAAGGATTGGCAACATGTTCAATGCCATTGCCGCCCTTCAGTTAGCATCGCTTCTCAGTATTCTGCTAGCATAGCTGACAGTCACGACGTATGCAAATCATGTCAGATAGGAACTCGGACAGAATGCTCGAGTATGATACTGCAATCAGAGATGATTTGAGTAACAACACTCCTCCCCTTCTTCTATTTCAAACTCATCAAATACTATCCAAGAATTGGTCAGAGCAGTGGAAGTCGCTTTTGCACTTGTACATTGTTTTGAGGTGTACTCTTGCACTGTACGTACAGTACGTACCTACCATATCGCGACTAAAAACCTGATACCGAAGATATTGTTAGATATGATACAGTATCACACATCATAATTACGTACAGCAAGTTGCGGCTACCATGAAGTGTTATGTGTCGATATTGTTAGATGTGATATCACACATCATAATTTCGTACAGTAAGTTGCGGCTACCATCAAGTGTCAAGTGTCAAACTAAAAGTATCTGATTGCGGTATCTCACTCGATCAGCACTCTCGTAGTGCGAAGTTTCCTTTGATGAGTATTAGCTCTGTCTCTATATTTCTTGCCTCCACAGTTTCCCAGACGCATCCAAACCAGTCCCTCATCATTCCTCGTGTATCACAGATTCGCAGGCACAATTTCTCCTGGAGCAAAGCACTGTTGGTCATTCTTTGGCCGTTGGCCACAGATACTTTCTCCAGAGTTCCGCGTTTTGTGGAATCCTTTTCGCAAGTTCCCGCTCTAAAGTTTGCGCGAATGGGGGTCACACCCATAGGGGTCCGTTCTTCATCGAAAGCTACATCGTTGACGAGGAAAAATACAATGGATGAACCGCCCGATGTTCAGTCTCCATGGAAATTATTTCCATCATGGCAATATAATCTGTTGGTAAAAAAGCACGGTGCCGATAGKGTTAAGCTTATCTATATGGTGAGGCATGCAGAAGGGACGCACAATGTTAATCGAGACTTTAAGAGTATTGAGCAGCTCGACGCACGATTGACACCATTTGGGATTCAGCAATGCCGTGAATTACGAGATGAACTATTGCTTGTGAAGAATGGAACCACCGACAAGARATGCAGGGAAGARGCCGATACAGCATCTCGAAATGGTTGGAAGTACCATACTCAGGGCTTGGATCGTTTGATGGAAAATTTAAAGGAGACTCGGAGCCACGAAGACAAAGCCAACATCGATGGCCACAAGGATAACGATACTTGTGTTGTAGTTTCTCCTTTGACAAGATGCATCCAAACGGCAATGTACTCCTTTGAATTTTTTACTCAGGTGACAACAACGACAGGAAAAGAACAGGACTACTCGTCAACAAACGACAACACCAAGGTACCCTTTCTTGGTATCGAGGCTCTACGGGAAACGGTAAATTATAACTGTGACCGACGGCGGCGAATTTCTGAGGTTGCAAATGAGTTTCCAGAAATCGATTTTACGCACTGTCATTCAAACGAGGACGAGATATGGTTGTCGTATCGGGGGCGAGAAAAAGACCAAGAAGGCAGAGAAAGAACTTTTGTCGATGGTACTCTACTAGAAGGTGCAAAAAAGAATTATTTGGAATCGGCCCAATTGTACGCCGTGGCAAATCGGGGCAGAAATGCCATGGAATTCATACAGTCTCTGCCCCAATCCAAAATAGTGGTATGCACCCACTCTGCTTACCTCCGATGCATTTTGAACTGGGGACAGACCGGGGGCGTTCCAAAGATGTTCGATCAAAGGTTGGATGACAGAGAGGATCCAACGAGGCAGGACAAACTGTTTGAGTATTGTTTCGAGCAAAATGAAAGCATCGACCAAAGTTCCGAAAGCATCAAAGACCAAATATCCCAATTCGACCAAGCATCTTTTGAAAAATACATGCGAGAGGATTATGGAAATGCAGAATTGCGGTCTTTCTGTCTTTTGGTGCAGCAAGCATAGGGCCCAATGGCAACCAAATGCCACATTTGGCAACAGCAATCAACAACCATTGAACTCAGCGTATCTTTCTTTTGTGCGTTTGCACAACATCGTAATATCAGTGTAGTATTGATAAACACACGCGATCAACTACCAAACTCCCTGTTCTAGCTTCGTTTCATCGATGGATGTTAGTGTACAGCAGCATCACATGGCTGTTGACTCGBGGTCGAATCCTTCTAGTTTCCCAACAATATCGTACTTTCCCTTGAACGTATAGATCCAGGTGGCAAGAAAGGCACGATCCGCTATGCTCAAGGGCTTGTTGGCTTCCTCTTCCGTTTCTTCTTCGACCTTGTTGCGAGCCAGCAGCCGCGTTGCATCCCGGCCCGCAAAGATGTGGTACTCACAACCGGGCAGGTAGAAATTCCGGCCCTTGTAAACATTGAAGACCAATCCATCCGCTGCAAGAAGAATGGGTCCGTCTTCGTCGTTGGATCCGTCGTACGGGGCAAGCTCAGCCTCGGTCCAGTATTCTTTTGGTTCGATGTAGGCCCGTTTCGCCCGTTCCTCCTGGATCGCCTTGACCCGTGCCGCTTCTTCTTCGCGGAGTTTTCGCCGGTTCCTGTCGCCCGYCCCATCGATGTACAGCCAACCAGCAAACCCCGCAACCAGAGAGGCAGCACCGGCGAGCACTTCCGGTGACACATGCAGCACCGTCCTTTTGGTTTCGAGCGTCCTCGCTTTTGTTGCCAATCTGYCCGGGAACGGTTGGCGCTTCCCGCAGCTACCATTGTGTCTCGCAAGAGTCGTTGACACAGGATGATAATGCCGATGATTGCTGAGGATAGTGCTCTGTGGATGGAAAGCAATACTGTAGAATGGGCGGGACACAATCGCCAGGACAAAAATTGCTACCAAAGCTTTTCCTCGACCAGTAGGAAGAAACATGCTTACAGTTGTTGGCATCTTGTTTGCGATTGCTCCGTCTTGTGATTCTGCGTACTAATTGTTTCTGCTTAAGATAGAGACGACACTAAAATAAATGGTACGTGTTCTACTTCAAGGGTTGGCCAAACCAAAACCATCGTCGTTGACATCAAAACCTAGAGTAGACATGGGCTAGGCGACACTCCAAGTCGACGGTACGAGTTACGTACGTAGTGCAAGGACGAATACAGTAGTACAGAGCTCCTTACTCAGAACGATAGGTACTGTACGTACGGTACACGACGAAGAATTTCCAAGTCGTTCGTCCTCGTACTCGTACTCGTAGTTGGATTTGAGATGCAACCTTTCGCGTAACCTCAACTTGCGTGCACAAAACTGAACGAAGAGAAGACATGGTGACATGTGACATCGGACATCGCCCATCATTGGATGATGTAATATTATGTATCTTACGTATCTAAGATACTTTAACATGTAATATGATAATTTTAGGTTCATAGTATGGATCGGTACTTCGAGTACTCGTACGTACGTACGTCCTCGTAGCATTGCTCATTGCCCCCTTCGAGGCCGAGACCCGAGACACCAGTTGTTCTTCTTTGACATTTTGGAGCTATTCCTACTTGGCCGTATCCAAAACATTCCGCCAAAATGTACCGTACGGTGACGCTTCTTGTTGCAAATCCGGTGCACACTTCCAGTGAGTCCTTTCAGTCTACTTTCCCTTGATTTCCTTTCTCTCAGAATTTCGATGACGACACTGTTGTTGCCGCTGTATTTGACCCAGCGGTGATCTCTGTCAAGACCGACAAACTTCAGAGCAACAACGAAAAAAGAGCCATTGTCTCACACAGAACGATGATTGGCGCTGCCCTTCTTGCTGTATCATTCGCGTTAACACTTCCATTTGTTCGCGCATCCAATGATTGGATGTGGATAGAAACGCATCACTACACTGGTGAGCGGAGAGGACTACCCAGCAACGATTCTTACCTGTCAAGGAGGAGGCTTGAAAAAGAAACAAGCATCGGCAGGGACAAAACAATTTCCGATACTTCCTATGACTTTCCCTTTCAGAGTGCCGACATTGGTAGCAGTAGCAGCAGCAGAGACATTGGTTCCAAACAACACCAACGTCAAGCTTTTCCTTCTGAGACAGAATCCGGTAGGAGGAATTTTTTCTTTCCGATCGACTTTCGACGGCAGAAGGGTCGGCTAAACGTTGGGTTTTCGTTTGGTGACGACGATGGAGCCCGAAAGCGCGGACAACGAAATCGGCCCCCTCGTCGAAAGTCCCTTACCAATGGCATCAAGGATCGCAGCTTTCCACCGATGTCGATTGTATCTGGTAATTCGACCACGATACCTCCAGCGATGGCATCCGGCGGGGACCCAAGTGAGGGAACTACCGCTACGACAGCGTTGGTGGAGAAAACAAACCACGCTTTGGAAAAAAGACGAGCCACCTCTGCTACTCTGCAGCACGGAGATGCTTTCAGGGCGAGATCGAACTACAACGACAGCAACGTCGAGCTTTCTCTCTCGCTCGATCCGTTTTCTCTTGCGTCTCTGGTTCGAAACTTGGTGGCGAGCAGTGTGGGCGCGGGCTCGGTTTATGTCGGAACGCTCAAGCTATTGGGGCCCATGATACTTGCCAAGCAATGCCTGGCGTCGGTGGGATATGCCTTCTACGATTATTACAGCGGGCGATACCTGCCCCAAAAACAGCAGAAACGGGTGCGCTGCGTGCAGGAATACGAACTTATTGCCGCGGGAAGGGCAGCATTGCGAAGCCTTTTGCAATTCCTTTGCATGGGCCTCGTTGGTCAGGTTGTAAGGCTCGTGCTCGACCCCCACCACCGGAGTTGTACTCTAGGTCCGCCATGGCCTTGCCATTTATGGTATGGAGTGGTGTGGCTGGCCTCGGTTTGCGCGGCTGGATGCGCGTGCGAAGAGTGGGGGTTCGATTTTCTCGCGAAGAAGACCGGCAATAGATTCGCTCCCTCGTCTCTATCGGTCCTTTCAACTGCGACCGATGCCGGTCCGAGGGCTGACTTCTTCTTTTCATCCAAACATCACGTCCGCGAAGACTGCTTGCGGGGGCGACGGAAGCGAAACGTGGTCGGGCCACAACGGCGGTTCGTAAAAGGACCGAGCCGAGATCCAGAAAACTGGCTGAAGAGCATCATGTGCATTCTCCCGGACAGAGAGGATCCAATTCGTCCCCGGCAAAGTGGTACCAACAGCGGTATTTGCAGAAAAGTTTCTGGTGATGTCGATGTTCTCTTGTTCCCGTCTGTGTGGAAACCCTTGAAGTTTGTGATGTTTCTAGCTTTTACCAAGGCTATCTACGAAAGTTTTTCGGATTCGCCGCTCAGAGCGTCTGAATCTGGAAAACTCGATCTCGTACTGCGAACTTTTGTCCTTCAACAAACGTTGCACAGCGAATGGCACCGGCTGTTTGTGCAAGAACGGATGCTCTCATTGGGGGCTTGTGTGAGCGTGATCGGGCTGGTGGCTCTGATATGGTCACTCTACGCGGTATCAATCGTCGATCGCACCGCCGCTCTCTTGCTGACCCCATTCGCTGCAGCTCGGTTGATCACAAGCTACGTAAACTTTTTGGTCTCTTTCGATCGATCGACTTTTATCGACAATGGCGTTGCTTTCTCCTGACGGTATTCGCACGGTCTGACTTGGCATTTTGTGGGGTTACACAGCATTGTGTGAGGGCCAGTAGTTGCGGGAACTTTCCTTTTTTGTCTCGGTACACATGATGCTGCTACTGTTGTCATATTTAGTAAAAGAGAGACTAATATTTACAGTGCTAGAATAACGTCTTCTACAACAGTTCATGCAAACTATTTTGGCAAAATATTTTCCGTCGGCACGAGAAGTAGCCGATTGATACAAATGCACTATTTGTTTTGCTGGCGGATCTACAAATGCCACTGGAATATCGAATGGTTTTGATCATTGTGTGGTAAGGTAGCATATCATTGAATTTCGCCGTGCAGCCCTTCGATAAAACAGGATAATCTGTTGACTCAGTTACAGAAATGCAGCAGTTTTTAGCTTTCTGTCTTATTTATCTTGAGAATGGTCGCCGTGATCTTGTATCGGACGGTCGGAAAATTTCTCACTTGGATTTTAGATACCTTGTAAATTCAACGTAGGCGCTATCCAAATCCATAGAAAGTTGGCGAGAATCTTCTTCGGTGATCTCGTCAATGGCACGCATGCCATTCAGTTTTTGGAGCCATTTCTTAACCTTGTGATTCGGTTCAAAATCGTCGGGAATGTCTGGCAGTTTCGTTAAGGAATCCATGAGATCGCTTAGGAGGGGTTGAAGTTCGTCGACAAATCGCGTTTCGATCTTGACGGCGTCCATGGCGGTGATAAAGTTTTCGACCGTCTTTGCCACTGTCACGGCCACGTCGGCCGTTTGTCCCGTGGCCGTCCGGATAGGCTCCGGAACCCCCATGTTGAGAAGGCGCTCCGTGGCACGCGGACAATCCATCTGGTACAGTTCCATAAAGCTTTCCGTGGTCATATTGAGCTTGGGCAGGGCCGCCTTTTCGGCTAATCGGAATTGCGAAATAAGCTTGTTGCATTCCTGCACATATTCTTGTTGAGTTATTGCATCCCTCGAATAGGCGCGCTCTAGGTGTTCCGTTGCCAATATTATTGCATACAATGCTGCTTGATCGTCGTACGCCTGTCTCTCGCGAGACGAAGAATACAATTCCACTTYTTCTATTTCATCGTCGTTGTTGAAAGCCATTCTTTTGTTCTTTTCGGCGGTTTGGTTATTTATGAATTTCGTTGTTTTTAAAAATTGCTTGGTGATCACAGTCAGCGGAAAAACGAACGGGGAAGGGTTGTTAGTGTTATGTTTATTTGTGTCGAAGGCAAGGGTTGGGATTTGTTACAGTAGCGCCGTTGCTTTTGGTTACCGGTACTGCAGTGTACTTTAGTTCTTACTAGAAGTTCTTGAACAACGGTCAATTAAGTCGTGCGTTGGGCCGTACGGTATTCCTGGACCCCGGCCGGGAAAGCACCGAGAGTGATTTTTCGTACTAGGTGTACATACAAACCGTACCGCACGGTACGTACTCGTACTGTCAGATCTGTTCATCAATCCTTTCATCAACGCGAACTCGTCTCACTGCCGTACGATTGCGTAGGTACGGCACATACGTCCTTTTCATCTTTTTGTTCAATTACAGTGCGAGGAGTGCAAGTACTCGTATTCCATGTGTTAAAAAATGATTGACGATGCTTGGGAACGAAGAACAGAGTGAATGTAAAGATTTTTGGTCAGGCCTCGCTTTTGTCGAGAGGAAAATCCGAATGAATCATGAGTAGTGCTAAGAAAATTACTCTATCGATCAGTCTTTCTGCTGCGATAATCGARTGGCTCGATGCATCGGCCAAATCGCAATCACTGCCGAGCCAATCGAAGGTAATACGATGTTGCATCAACTGCGTTGCACTTGGCGATGTGAAAATGACGACAGACGGAAATGTTTCTCCTTCTGTGTGTCCTTCTGAATACCGAACACTAAATATCGAAGTCGCGCCCCAACAAATTGATTGGATCGACAGTGTTGTTTCAAAAATCGAGGGATCCAGTCAAAGCGAGATAATCCAGTCCGTGCTAACGTCTTGCATGAACGCAGACAAGGATGTGGTCTTCGGGGTCGTACGATGTAAAAGCAAAGTGACCGCCTGCGAGGGTGCACAAGCTGTCATCGATTCGTTATCAAAACAATATGGAAAAGATAATGTCGAGATAAAGGAGGAGATCAGCCTATTGTGATAGTTTACAAAATTGATATCACCGCAAGGATATAGTGTTTCGACAATTCATTCAAGGAATAAAACAGAGCGAAAGTGCAAACCTGACAGTGTTGGTCCTGCCTACTTCATTTGCTTTGAAAATACGGAAACGAAGTGATTGCTACTGTCACTAGCTAACTTAATTCAAGAATGCTATCAGAGATAAAGCTCACTTTACTCCAATCATTCATGGTATAAGTAGCTAGTAATAGTAGGGAGGACCAAAAAAATTTTAGTTTCAGTGTTTCTCTATGAGAAGGAGACCCAAAAGGAGCCGTACAATAACGCTTGTCACCAGGCTCATTGTCACCTCACTCCACTTGTCTATTTGATTGACAGGATGGAGGACTGGGAAGTAAGTGCAACTCTAAAGCAGCTTCCTTCCAGGCTGGCGTCAAAGCAGGGATGACACTGGTAGTATTACTTCTTGCAGGTATGCGGCCTCATTACTAGTAGATCTAGGACACTTGGTTTTGCTCTAGAATGTGTCACAAGTAGATGCTTGTTGCAAGAAGGCACCAACTTTCACACCCGTTTGAAATTCAATCAGCCTCTCTATTTGATTTTGCTCTCAGGTGTTAGGGAGTGCTTGTAGTATTAAGAGCAGCAATGGATTGCATTCGAGGTACTTGGTTTAATTCCCTCGTCTCTGTCTCCTTTTCTACTAGTAGTACCACCATGGTTTCAATCTTTGGTGTGAACTGTCTCTTTCAATCTGTACTTTGATTGCACTTGACATCTTGTCTCTATTCTTTAGTTCTCTACTACTAGCTAAGCGCCCTGGGTTTGACCTTTGGCAATTTCATTGTAAATGTAACCTACTGGTATTATAAGCGGAGACGATAACTCTTCTCTTAATCTATCATTGGGGAGTCGTGTTTCCCTCTGTTTTGAGGAGAACAACGTATGGCAAGAACTTTCTAACGTCGTTATTGAATTAGAAATAAGAAGTATCGTACTGTAAGGTGCTTCGTGGAAGTACTACTTTTTTTGTACTTAAACTTTCTTAGTCGTAAACGTGTTTGAGAAAAATCGACATCATAGTTCTGAATTTACGATATTTTCCACCGCCATGTCAACGAGTTTCATCAGAAGTAACCGTGTGCATTTTTGATTGAGCATGCACGGCTCATCACTATTAGCATGGATCTTTTCATCCATTACTGGCTCAAAAGGGAAAGTATCATCTATCGGACACTTCGACAAATACTGAACAATAGAACGCACAATCTTGGCAGTACTTTACCATGGCGGACGGAAGAGGAAGTAGTGGATACAAATACGGTTCTGTTGACAACAACGATGAAGAAGCGGGCGTCGATGAGAAAGACAAGAGTTTCGATGAGTCGAACCTCTATTTTTACAAGGAAGAGGATCTGACGAGGCAGGAAAAAATTTCCAAGTTTGTTAAGTTATTTGTCCCCATCATACTTGCTGTTAGTATGGTTGGTGGCTTGGCTTATATTTTATTTCATGATTTCGGAGATCTTTATCCCGGACCGGGAGAAAAATCTCATTCGGCAGGGAGGGTCAGCCAGCCAACGACGGTAACATCAGATGATTATACGCCAAATATTGCAAACATGAGCTCCTCTTCGAATTCCTCTCATGGAAGCTCAATTCCGGTTATTAGCCAGACGAAAACATCTTCGGGGAATTCCTGCGAGGCAAATCCTGGATGCGCAGCTTTGGGATTGACGGGAAATTGTTGCCCGACGTCAGAAGGGATTAAATTAGGTTGCTGCCACTAAGGAATGATATTCGGTTTTAAATTATGAAGCAGATATTCGAAAGAGTTATTCTTCATAAATAGAACCTGGAATATATGTACTGCACTAAACAATAGCTCTAAGTCGCCACCATTAACAATAATGAACATGCCATTCTATTTTAATTCAGTTATCATGCGACACAGCGGCTGTAGCTGCACCCCCGATATCAGGCAGAGTCTGGCCTAAAGGATCCATCTTCGACAAGGGATCTGAAGTTGCCTTATGTTTGTCTTGTCTAGAAACTGCCGACGTGGCGACAGCGGTTTCTGTTGTTGGTACGTTTGTGCTGTTACTTGGGCCATTTCCAAGAACTACTACAACATTTTTCGCCTCTCCTGATGCAATACTTCCGGAAACAGCCGGAGGTGGAGAAGGATTATCATTCAGATCATTCGTGGCGTTGTAAAACCCACCAGAAGGCATGTACGCAGCCCCAGAGGGTGGGAGGTTAGGTCTTCCTCTTCCACTGAAAGCGCCCCGACCCCCACGTCCACGACCTCCTCCAGGGTAACCTCCAGTGCTAACAGTATTTACTCCACTGTTCGCTTCTTGTTCTGCAGGCCTAATCTGTTTATGCTGAACCTTCAGTCGTTTATTTCCAATCTATATGATGTTTGTTCAGACGAGAGATGCAAAATGAACGGAATTGCGTAGTATACCGTGAAAGACAATTTGTRAGGCATTTCAGTGTGGTCCGAGAAATCATGTGTGCGAAAATTGTTCTGTCTCCACCAAACCTTAAATCACACAAAGCATAACTTACTGCAAACCCATTCAATTCCTTAATGGCAAGTGCAGCTGCATCGGGGTTGTCATAGGAGACAAAACCGAAACCACGACTCCTTCCACTATCCTTTTCCACCATGATCCGTACACTCAGTAAACGCCCATAGGGGCTGAACAATTGATACATGTCCAAGTTCACAAAATGGTTGGGAATATGAAAAATGAATAGATTTGCTCCATCCGGTCCTTTGTTGGAACCTGTGGTCTGGATCGGAGGCCCTGGAGAATTCGTTGGATAATTAAAACCTCCATAAGGGCCAGCGTTAATATAATTGGGTGGAGGACGATATTGGCCTCCCGGGTACGGTACAGGCGGTCCGCCGGATGTCCTTAACGGTACATGTGTAACATTTGCATTGTTGCCATAGGAATCGGGTGGTGGAGGTCCGTACCCCCATGCTTGGGGACCAGGTCCCGCACCATAAATTTCTTGTGGTCCATCTAGTGATGAATGAGGTACAGAAGTATCATCAAAAGAGGAAGATCGATCAGGACGATGTTGAATTCCCGGTACAAACGGCATCCCTCCATGTGCTGGTGAAATAGAGTACGGTGCATTCCTAAATAGTTGCAAACAAGAAAGTTAGAGGAAGACATGAGGTGGCATTCCATAGGCTTGTAAACGTATTASAACATATTTTATGTGGTCATTTTTCTTACCGATTTTCATTCCATGCTACAAACTCTTCGTTTCCATTGTTGCTATTGAATGTAGAACTATTATTTCCACTGGATGATCCACTGGGCCTCCCACTTAAAACTGGATATGCCCCTTGAATGTACATTCCATTTGATGAAGCATATCCAGAGGGAACTGGACTCATACCCGGATTCATACTTGTATCCCCACCTCTTGGTGTATTTAGGTAGGCTGGAATAGCGCCGGCAGTCATACGTGGGAAAAGGGGCGATGCCGGAGGAATCCCGCCCATACTTTGAGTTGGACTACTCGGTGGTTGCAGAGTATTGTTTCCGGCGTAAGGATGCATCCCTTCATTTGTGAAGGGACTATTTTGAAAAGCCCCTACGGACTGCGGCTGAAAAAATGACCCACCAGCATTGTACGTTGCCCTTCCGTTACCACTATTTGGGGACGGCGACTCGGGTGTTATTTGAGGGTTATTGTTGTAAGACCCATAATAGGCAGATTGCTGTGGAGTTTCGTGGGGATGAATTACCTGGGGATAGCCATTTGAGGTTCCTGGTGTTGGATCTCCATTCTTTGAATGGACAGGGTCGTTSATTTTTTCTGGAGGAGTAATCTCAGCTTTGCTGTGATCAGGCGTTTTGGATGAGTCCTCCCTCCCTGAAGATTCCGCTGGAGCATCCATTTTTTAAATGTCCGAAAAGTTACTAGTGCCTTTCCGTGAGTGAGACAATCGGGTCGTATCTCGAATCGACAGTGTTGGTCGCCACAGATATGAGAGTTGCAAAATGTATTCAGGATTTGATTGATATCTTGTCTTTCGAATCAAATTGATGCGTATCAATAGCTACGTAACGAGGATGAACTTGCGTCACGCCCCAATCAATACAATTCAAATTGCTCGATGGAAATGCGAGTGAAATCCCTATCAAATCCTTGCAGTCAACGCTGAATAAAATGATTTAGTGTATATTGACGCTCCGATTACTGGTTCGTCAATTGCGAGATTAAGAGGCGAGTGTGAGAGACTTTAGACAGGTTCCACCTTTTCTCTGTCCAAGAAAGGTTGGTATTCTTCTCTAGTTTTTCATCAAGGAGAGACAACAATTAGTAAAGGTTCGCGTAGCAATAGTAGCGAGAACGTTGTCGTGCACTAACAACGGCACCGGGATATCATTTCTTCCTTCGCGTACTTGCATATCCAGACGCGTTGTGACAGATTGTTGCGATGCGATGCATTTATTGCTTTCGATTCTGGGGTTCCCACGGAGTAGTAATAGGGAGTTATTACGTACGCTGAAGATACCAGGCGAAACCGAAACAATTCAAAAACCACTATGCCCCCTCGAGTTCATATTAAATGAGTTACATAAGGGTATTCTGAATCGGACATATGTGGGACAAAATCCGTAGAAAGCCGGCATGACGCTTGATCGCGAATCTTTCAATCAWGCGCATTTTCGAAAGAAGCTTCGAAAACAAGCTTCGAAAACGAGGAACTTCTTTGGTCGTATCGTACGGTATGGAACGATTAGCACGGTTGTGGATTCTTACCTGAAAGGCTCTATTGAGACAGTGACCGACAAAACAGAAGATCTTTGTGAAGATGTTGTTATTGATTACAGTTGCGAGAGAATGATGTAGATTCCTTCTAATTTGTGCTTTCATGGCGTCAAATCTGTCCTGGGGAAGTTGGAAGAGAATGAAACGACAACTCGAACGAAATCTTTGCCGTCCGTGCACGAAGTACTATTATCATTGTTCGCTTCGCGCGTTCCCTGTACAGTTACAAATCCCAGTGACAAATTTGACTTTTTAGAACGTTAGAAGAATAGTGCACGAAAAATTCGGGAGTTCAAAATAGAATAAGAAGTGATTACTGTACGTACCCCTTTACGCATACGTAAGCATAACCATATCGTAGGCTGCTACTAACCTTTTGGACCAATGGTAGATGCCAGGGATCTAAATTATGACCCCTGGTTAGATGATAGGTACCGTACAAGCATGGCCCTTGGGGGGTAARTACGAGTACCTATGAACTAAAAACAGTACCGTAAGTACTTACTGATATGTAAACTTTTGATGACCCCTGCTTTGCTCCTACTTTGGGTACGTACCGGTACGAACAGTACAGAATGTTTGGCATCACGCCTTTCTTTCTCGACTCGACCAAATACCAACCACCAAGCCCTCATACGTATCGTACGTTCTATATCATCATACAGTAGTGTAAATATCGTTAACGCAAACGGTACGTAGTCCAGTCCATCCGGATCCCTGCCTGCGCTGCCTCGGAACGTACTTGTACGCATTAGCCCCTCAGCCATCAAAATAAAAAACAGAAATCTGAACTGAAAAACTCAAAATCCTCGCTTACTACGTCGTACAGGTACATGACATTCCCAAAATCGAGTACGTTCGTAACAACTCATCCAGCAATACAGAACACTGTAACAGTCGAAACATCATCGAACTGTATATCGCAGATCAAATAATCACAACAGCATTGATTGCTGGGTTCAAGTCTTTGCAAAAGCATCCACTCCATTGATACATCTCCGTAGTAGTTTTCAAATTGGATCAAGAAAGAATTTCACTGCTTTCAAACAATGGTGCTGTTACGCATCAACAGAAACGATTGTTTTTTTAAGGACCACATTGCTCTGCTCCTAATTTTGAGCATGACAGCARTAAATGTCAGCCACGGATTCTCGTCATCTTCCATCTCGTCAATCAGAGGTTTTAGTCATTCGCTTCTGTTGCAATCTGTATGTAGAAGTGATACATGGTCTGTAAGAAGGTGGGCGAGAAAAGTTCCTGAATTTACGGTTGATGATGACGACAATTACGACAGTGGAAGTAGCAAACGTCGTGTGTATGCGCCTCCTGACTTCACAATTGATGACGATAGTACTGATTCGGGTTTGGGTGCCAACAAGAACGACAAGAGGAGCCCAAAAATAAGCGTGGCGAAAAATCGATTAGATGTACAGAAAAGAAGTGCTAATTCCAAGACGATACGACGACCTGCGAGACGAATCAAAAAAGTCAAAGCCTCCGAAGCACCAAGCATGGTGGGTACCTCATGGATGCAAAAGAACGCCCAGTTTTCGAACGAAGATGCCAATGTCAGTGTTGAGGATGATAATACTGAATCTCCGGCACCTCGAAAGTCTTCGAACAAATTTAAGAGGGAAATAGGAGATACAAAAACCTTTCGCCAAGATTTCCGTCAGACCCGTGTCTTTGTCGATGGAATTCCGCCTGGTGTCAGCTGGCAGGATCTGAAAGATCACTTTCAGGAAGCAGGAAATGTCGTCTTCGCATCGGTTAGTATTGATCGAACTACTGGGCAGTCGAAGGGCCACGGGATCGTTCAATTTGAAACAACYACCATGGCACAGAATGCGATTCACATCATGAGAGACTTTCCGTTAAACGGCAGCTCATTGTTTGTTCGAGAAGATGTACAACAAAATAGTAACCCAGATGCTAGACTGCGATCAAACTCCCGGGAAAGTAGAGCAGCCAATCCACCCACCAAGTGGAGGTGTGCGAACGAAGATAATGCAGAGCACATGTCAGTTGATGAATTGCAAGCGATCGAGACTTTGATCAAAAAGCGCGATGATTCTAGAAAGCGACGGAACTACGTCCTTTCCGATAGACTGCGCGACGACTTGAAATCGAACCATGGAGTATTTATTGATGACCGTCTCAAAATGTGGTGGACGTCTGTAGATGGAAAGAAAGTTCCTCAATCCATTCAGGACATCAAGGGAGACGGGAGGTGGAATTTGAAACCCTGGCGTCAGATCCCTACGACACCTGAAAACGATGCTTGCATCAATCCTGATTTTGTGGAGGGGCTTTTGAAGCAGCGAGATATTGCTAGACGGGAAAAGGACTTTAAGACGGCTGATATGCTTTTAGAGCAGGCCCGAACGTCACCGGACGGTGATTTTGAATTGCGAATTCACGACGAGAGTAGGACATGGAGAGCTTGGACGGAAACCCGACCGCCCATGAACCGACCATACGAGAAACAACGAACTGGAATGCCTTCGGACCCTGTCGAGGCCAAAAGGACTGCAGCAAGAGAATGTGCGGCTATAGTCAAAGAGCATGCTCCGGAGAAGCTTGAAGAGATTGTGCAGGTGTTGAAGAGATATCCGGGTAGAGAATTTCAGGTATTGAAACGGCTTAGACAGCAATATTTAACTTAAACGAATTACAATCAGTTCATAACTGAATCTTTTGTACAGAATCTCTGCCGGTCTTGTATTCAATTCGATCCAGTTGCCATCAAATGCTGGGGAGTGAAGATAACTTGTAACAGCTTCTAATTTTAATTCTACAGGATTGCGCTAATTTCTTTTATACAGCTGGTTCTGTTTCACCCTGCATCTGCGTGTAAGGTGTCGACTCAGATGAAACCGGTGCCAAATACGGATGGTGGCTGATATCATCAATGTGTTGAGCAATACCCTCTTCGTGTTCCTCCCGTGGATAAAAAGTGCAACACTTGCAAAGCTCAATATTATTTTGGTTTCCTTGATGCAGTGGTCGAAAACTTACGTTTTGTAGTACAGTGTTGTCGAGTTGACCAACGTTGGGGACGAAAACATGTGAGGATGAGTGCTAAAAAATATATCAAAAGAACACAACGATGGCATTAAAAACCCACGGTAAATCGTTCTCCGTACCTGACTTCCCCGAACATTGGAATATTTTTCACACCACTACCTTGCACGCTGGTCCAGCCTTTCGCATCAAATCGTAAACGACGCGGATGGACTTGAGCTTGGCCACCGTAGAGTAGCAACCTACCGAACTCATTTCTACTGACAACCCACGCTCCCATCCCCACTAGAACCACGACGATGGGAGCCATCGCAACGACAAAAATTGCTGTTGCAATATCCACATGTCTATTCAGAGGAATGATCTCGCCGATCACAACGACGAGCACGATGCTCAAAAGTGCTGCCAGAGAATATAGATTCCCGGCCGTCAATTGTGACTCAGTTAATTGGTAGTATCCCACTTGATGTCCGTAGACTATGTATATCAAGGACGCCGATGCAATGCTCAAAACCATTACAATGGGACAGACAATCATTCGCCATTGAATATTATCGTGCTGGTAGTCCAGCTTGAGACACAATAAGGACATTGCCACAAATATGAGTATCCAACTAATGAGCCTCAGAACGTGCTGTGTTCTGCAAATAATTCCGTCGATTATCCCAACGAATACCATTACCCATATGGGGAGGAAACAATACGTCATAGAAAATTTCCCATTTGCCAACCGTAGGTAAAAAAGAATTTCGAATAAGAAAATGCCAAACGAAATGAGCCCAGTTTTGAGCCCAAATTTTAGCGAACGTTGCAACAGCGGCAAGTATTCGGTCCGGTCCAAATGATCACTCGAGTCCGGGCGCTGTCGACTTTCGTTGGCCTCTGCAATGAATGAAGATAACGCCTTAGCGGAGGAAATATGGCACCAAAAGAGACCCAGGTGCGATAGCCACGACGGGAGTAGAATGAACCAATACGGTAGATTCGACAGCAAGTTTATCCACCTCGCCATTCCAAGCAATACCGTCAGCGCGAAACCAATCGAAACAATCAACTATTTCATTTGAGTGCAGAGTTCGAAGAAAGTTATTGTATGGTGGAGTCACGGGCACAGAGCGGAAAAAGACAGCGCGCAAAACGGTTCCGAAAAGTGATGAGCGAAAACAAGGACAAAAGGGGTATACGGGAAATTATTTATTTGGAATAAAAGCTTACCCAGGTTCTCGTGAGGGGTTTCAGTACTTGTAAGGCAGACCTTCGAACGCGGTAGATTTCTTCAGGGATTTCTAGAAGTGGAGAAGAGTTTCCCACCGAACCCTCCCCAGCGCTCGCTCCGAGTTCGTCCCGTCCGGATAAACGATGAGACCGTCGCAAGGAATGGAGAGATCGACTGCCCTCTCCCATCGAGTTTTGATAGGAAGCCGTCGAGTTTCCTCCAACCGATCGTGCTCCCTCATCCCGTATCTGCGTGTACGATGAAGTGGGCTGGTTATTGTTCTGGTTGTTGCTGATGTTGGCGCTGAAACTTGTGCTATCGGGTGCGGGATCATCCGCGAGACTTCCATTCATCGTTGGCGACTGATTAATAATCTCCCCACTGGGACCCCCAAAGCGTTGATTAAACAACGATACAGCAATGGGAGAAGATGACTGAGAAGGTCTTCTTTCACGAAGGTTTGAATTGTCTGAAGTGCTGCTGGATCGTCTGCTGGACGATTGATGGTTTGCTGATGACGCCGTCGCCGAGCCTCGTCTTATTAGGGGGTCTGTCTCTTGACCTGCTCTAGCCGTCGTCGTCTCACCACCAATTTTCCAGTCAGACTTTTCCTTTGATCCAAAAGACGAATTTCTCATTTGGCGCCCACCGTGGTGGTCTTCAGAGTGAGTTTAGTAAGATTGCTGTTACTCGAAGGCCTTCGACAGTTAGAATTAATCTCGATGAGATAGAACTGTCGTATCGTAATCACAGTATTTAATTTCGTTCCTCTTCTCGGCCAACTTCGATTTTTTCATCAGTAGATGATATTACGATACGAAGTTTCGACGTACCGATCCATCTGGACCGGCGATTACGAGTACTAGGGTACGAGCACGTATGACTTCCTCGAATGCGGCATTAGAGCTATTAGAAAAGGGACCGATTGGCTCGGCGCTGGCACGCTCMAAGTTGTGGTCGCGCGGCAAGAAGCATGTTCTTGCTGTAGAGATTAAGTACGTGCTGTACCTAATAACAGAAACTACGAACTACGACGTTCTGTAATAAAATAACATGCAGTTCTGTAGTACTGTACGGTACCGTACTACTAGTTTTTTTACTGCTGTAATGCTGGATGGTACACCGTCATTAGTACGAGTGCGTAATATTATTTTTTTTTCGTCACATTTATTTACGGACTACTAAGCCTTGCAGGAAACTACAGTACGAGGTACAAACCCTAATGAGGTGGAGACAGGTCCGGAGCCAGTACAAATTTTACACGGCTCTACGGAGGGAACAATACACCTCATTAGGGTTCCTGACTTTTAAAAAAAAAACAATAAGTATTTTTATATCAATATATTTGGTAGCACTAATTTGTACATTGGATGCTACAATACTGATATGGATAACTCTAATTAAAAAAACACTTGTTGGTCGACTGATCTGAGACTTCCGGATCCCCTTCTTATTACTATTATACTAATCATCATGAAGTTATTCCAGTACTATATGTGTGGAGGGGAAGTCTCCCAAATTGGTCTGTCTGGAGGGTGAGACAACCCTCATGCTGGTGTTTTTTTTTTCTGACTAGTAAAAACTGCACGGTTTTCTTGTACTCATAACCTAAAAAAAATCTTAATATTATATTTTACCTCGTGAACTAGAAGAGGCACTTGGGTGGCCGGAACCATAACTTTTTGTTGGAAAGTATGCTTCTAGCTGCTCCAAGGGGCGGCACTTCCCTCTGAGGAGGTTTCGTGGAAGTGCGACCATGGTGTTGTTTTGGCTGAGAAATTAATTGAAATAGTTGTTCATAGTAGTTTGTGTGGTACGGGTGGTTGCGGTAGAGACCAAAGAGAGCTTTGGTGAGGCAGAGGGTCTGTGTCATTTCTTCTTGGAGTACGCATCAAAGATCAGCCTATCTTGGGTGACRCTCTCCAGTGGTTGTTTACTATGAAGCAAAGGGGGAAAGTACTGGGTAATAGGGCAAGTGTTGGAGACCGATGCACCTGTAGCTTGAAAGACACTCGCCAGAATCGTTTTCTCGTAGGCTTGATGATAATAAGAGAGCATGGAGGTAGGGGTATTCATTAAGAAGGCTTCCATATTTTCTGGGAATAGGTGGACATGGGACAGACATGTTTGAGATTTTAAAGCAAGTAAGGTCCGAACTTTCATCACTACTCGCTGTCAATGCTTTGCTTGCTTCTGAGGAATTGTGGAGCCATGAAGATCTTCATTTCGTTGTTCCCATAATGATATATAGGAGGTAAGAAAGAACTCGACAAGATAACCTCCTAATACAAGCGGGGAGTAAGAGCCAGAATGAAGATCAAGATCATTGAACCACTGGGGCGAAGCATGACCAGAAAACATGTGGTGCCAACCAATCTCACTCTGAAAATGAATAACGGGTTCTTGTACTCATAACCTATCTTGGATACAATCCACACATTAGGGTTCATACCTCCTACTACTGTAAAAAAAACATTATCTGTTCTTGCTGTACCCTTTCAGGTTCGAATTAAGACGTGACAGCTTTTTAACGGTAGGGATTCTACAGGACTCTACGTGTGGAACAATAGTCTTAATTCAGACCACAATGGGCAAGCTGTCACTTAATTCCACCTGGAACCAAAAAGGAACTATTTTATATCGAATTATTTCCTATTTCAGAGTACCAAGTACTTCCGAGCTGTTTTTTTGCTCACTTTTTGAGAATTCGAATGGGCGAAACGAAATCGATTTCCGGAGACTAGTTATTACCATGGAATAAAATCGAAATCGGAATCGATTCCAAGAACAGATTTCTCTTAACATAAAATAACTAAATCGCTTACTACTGGGGCGCTCTCTACTAAGGCGCTAACTGGAGCGCTCTAAGGCGCTAACTACTGGGCTTCACTCTTATATTTCTGAGCTCGGAGCTTTCCGAGCTCGACGGAGCTTTTTTCCTCTCAGAATTCAGGTCAGCAAATCGAAATCGACGTCCGGTCACTGCTTATTTGCATGGAATAAAATTGAAATCGGAATCGATTCCAAGAACAGATTTCTCTTAACATAAATTACACTTACACTTACACTTCAGCAACTTCACCAACTACAGGATCAGTATCAACTAAGCCTTTCACTCCCTCCAGTACCTCAACAGAGATATTGRAAGCAACTCTCTCTTCTTCACTCAAACTGGCAAGGAAGGACAGTGCTTGGTTCTTCAATCTCTCCCTCTCTCTTCCATAGGCAGTTTCTCTGATTGTTATCTCATCATCTTTCAGTCTCTGCAACAGAGCCTCATCAGAATCAGTCCAAGAAGCTGATGGAGTGGTGGGATCATTTTTCACCTTCACCCACATATCCAATAGCTTTTCTTTCTTTSCAGGAATTTTCTTTTGCTGCTTCCACTGGCACAAAACCTTCAGAGTAGACACTGGGAGGGTCTTTGCATCTTCATCCTTCTTAACATCTTTTCCCTTTGAGGCCAAATTCTGAATCAAACCAAGAGCTTTACTATTCAAAACTTGAGCTGCTTTTGCAATCTTCTTCTTYGCTTCCAAGTGTTGAATCTCATCTAAACGCCGGGTTCTTTCCTTTGCGATGAAGTAATCTTTCGTGTTCAGTGTTTCACCGCCTGTTGCGATAAAGTGCTGRCTTGAATATTTAACYCCTGCAATTGCATCTTGACGTGCTCTGGTATTTGGTTCCGTCACTTGATCCGCCAACTGCTTGCTCTTTCGGGGGGCGTATTTCCTAAACACTTCGCCATTGAAACCAGCATCGTTCAATACCTTGATTGCTGCGGAATTCTTTTTCTCATGTGCTACTAGTGCAGCCACGTTTGGATCCGTTGATAAATCAACGCAGCCGTCTGGCAAAAGAATCAGTTCGTGTTGAACTTTTTCATCCTGAAGGCAATTCCGAGTGAATGGTGAAATCCCAATAGTTCGCCATACATCTTTGCATCGGTCTATGGAAAAGGCTTCATCGAAAGCAAAATCCAAAGCAACGTTTTCATCCCACCCATCTCGCTTCCCAAAAACTAAGAGGGGGTAATCTGACTGCCGAAGATTATCGTTGTTCATGCGTCGGTGATGTGMGAGTTTTTCAAGATTATTTCTGTACAAGGTTTTGAAATAACCATAATTGCGATCCGTTGGCTGGGTGACATGCGTTGTATTAGGCACTCCAGGATGAAGCAGAAAGCCACGGGTTGCAAGGCTCGCTAATAATGCTTCGTTGTTTCTTCCAGGACCGCTATCAACAATCAACATCACTCGTCTCCCTGGGACATTCGCTGCATCAGGATAAAGCTTTACAATCGCATCCATAACATACTTTTCGAACTCTTCCCCGTCCATTCCGGCATTCACATTACAGTTCACCGTCGCTCCGTTGCTTGTGATACAGTCACCACCATACTTCCCTTTCGTGTTTTGAATACCGTTCACAAATAATTCATGAATTCGTTTCTTCTCTTCTTCGGTGGCAGTTGATTTTAATTGGAAGTGAGGCGGTAAAGGAAATCCGGCGGCATTGCTCCCTGCAACCAAAGTGATTCGTGAACTGCTTTTGTTTGTCCTGTCAGCTCCGCATCCAACATATTTATCGGCAGATCCATACGCTGTTGAGGGCCGTCCTCCAGCTTGACTTCCATTCCCATCAAGTGTCAACCCTGTTCATCCAAATTGATAATTCGATTTAGTTGACCAGGGAAAAACACTAGCTCACCTTCAACAATTTCATCGTCTCTTTTCATTCTGGCAAACMCATTTGCGACAAGAGTGTCCTTTAGTGTGTTAAACCAAGTATTAATGTTATTGTAGGTAGTCCACTTCAGTCTACGCTCTTCAATCTTTGTTCTGCCGTTTGCAACTTTCAAGTGTTCTGCGAAGGTYGGCAACAAACGCCGGTACAGACTCACAAAATCAGTCAACAAGCAGGGGCCTGGTAAAAGACACGCTTTCAACATGGATACAAAACCTTTGCGTTGGGGAACCGTCTCCTTTTCCTCACACGCAAGAGCGACAAACGAAGAGACCGCATCAGCTATTGCCGCTTTGATTTTGGGGGGTAACAAACTTTTCCGCCCCCGGCCRGGGGGCCCAAGACYGTCCTTCAAATGCCGTCTAACGGTGTTTGCCTTCAAGGAGGTGTTGTAAAGCAAGTTAACTTGAGACACGATGCTAACAACGGAGGAGCGGGACTTTGGTGGCAAATTTTCCTTCTCGTACCTGACCTTCTTAGCAGCCGCCTCATACGCATCATCCTGAGCTCGTTTCTGAAGAAACTTGTTTACCGTTTTGATATGAGCTTGTTTAGGAGTATCTGGTCCCTCATCAAGTAGTTGCRGAGCTAGTGAGCCTGCCTCTGTAGTATCATCTTTCCTTACTGACGACTTGGTGAGAACTGCTATTTTAGCTTCCAACTCCTCCAACTTCA